TAAGTCTAATGGATTAAAAAAAGCTATTCTAACGGATTTGAAAATAATTCTAACAGATTCGATAATACAATCGATACAATCCATTTGTGTTTTTGATAGTATATGGGCTATATGAAGTGTTGTGTGACTATATTGGATATTTCTATTTCAGAAAACTTTGATCACTACTCACGTCACCATAGCACATATCACAATTTTTTGCAAAGTATTTTAGTCTTTTCTAACCTATTTTATTCTTTTCTATTACTTTCTATTCTATTCTAATCTATTCTGTTTGATTTCAAATTAATTCTATTTGAAAATTAAAATTTCGGAAGGCAGTTATATTTTTTTTATCCTATTCTATTGTTTTTCTATACTATTCTATTCTATTATTTGATTCTCTATTCTAATCTTTTCTGTTCTACTCTATTCATTCTATTCTAATTGCTTCTATTCTATTATTTCTTTATGTTCTATTTTGCTCTGTTTTACGCTGTTATTTTCTTGTCTGTTTTTTTATTTTCTATTCTAATCTTTTCTATGATATTCTAATTGATTCTATTCTTTTCTATTCTATTCTTTGATTTTCTATTCTAATCTTTTCTATTCTATTCTAATGGATTCTATTATTTTCTATTCCTTTATTTTCTGTTTTACTATACAATTTTCTACTGTATTCTGTTTTATTCTTTAAATTTCTATTCTGTTTTTTTTCTCTATTCTTTCCTATTTCGGAAAAAAACGAAGTGCACATGTCTAGTTTCCATCACATAGAACAAAGAGGCCCAACAAAGAACCTTATACTGTATCAATACCACCAGCTGTTATTTTCATGAAAGCTACTGATTAAAAAAATAAGCTTTTCAAGTAATAGTATTGTGTTAAAACTCATAAGAGCTTTGATATGATTTTAGTGGATGAATTTACAGTTATTTTAACAAAGTATTCCTAAAGTAGTTCTAAGGGCTGAAGTTTTTAGCATTAACCACTTGCACTCCTGAGGATTTACCCCCCTTCCTGACCAGGTCATTTTGTTCGATAAGGCGCTGCGTTACTTTAACTGACAACTGCGCGGTCATGCAACACTGCACCCAAATGAAATTGACTTCCTTTTTTTCCACAAATAGAGCTTTCTTTCTGTGGTATTTGATCACCTTTGCATTTTAGTTTTTTTGCGCTATAAAAAAAAATGACAATTTTGAGAAAAAATCAATATTTTTGACTTTTTGCTATTAAACATGTCCAGTCAAAAAATTTAAAAAAAATCTAATTTCGCCATAAATTTAGGACAAAATGTATTCTGCTACATGTCTTTGCTAAAAAAAAAAATCCCAATACACGTAAATTAATTGGTTTATGTGAAAGTTATAGCAAATGGTAGTATATATACTGGATTTTAAAATGTTTTTACTAGTAATGGTGGCGATCAATGACTTGTACGGGACTTGAGACTGCGACAGTCATTCTGACACTGGGGGGAACTGACTTGGTGACAATGACATCCCCAGTGACATCAATACAGTGATCAGTGCTAATAAAAAGCACAGACACTGTACTAATGGCACTGGGCAGAAAGGGGTTAACATCTGGGGCGATCAAAGAGTTAACTCTGTTGTGTGAGTGCTTTCCACTGTAAGCACACTGCTTTCTATGGCTCTACTATGCAGAGCCACAAAAGCAGTTTGCAGGAGCTGACAGGTGACAGATCTGTGTTTTTTATACACAGGTCTTTCCCCCATTAGAGATACTCAGCAATCACCGGGTGGTGACTAGAAATCACTGGCTGGGACCCGGTGATTGACAACTGAAGCCTCGAATGGTCATGCACACCCCCTACCCGGAACTGCAAAATCACGTATATATACGTGATTTTGTGTACCCGCCCCACCCTGTAGCAGTATTTCTGCTATAGGGTGGTGCGGAAGCGGTTAATGTATTCTCTGCATTAAGGTAAAAAACCTTCTAAGTGCAGTTTCCTCCCTCCCGCCCACCCTTATAATCTCTTGAGCCTGATCTCTTCCCAGCACTCTGCATGAGAGCAGTGGCCCTCTCAGGTCTCTCTCGCTCAATCACAGCCAGTGAGGAGGCCAAAGCCCTTCTATGGGCAAACAGAGCCAGCTCAGGAGTGAGCCTGCACAGGTGCACCCATAGCAAGTGGCTAGCTATGGTAGGCACTCGCCATCGGGTAGCCAGGAGCAAAACCATTGCAAAGAGCAGCTAAGTTTGACATGTTTGCTATTTACAAAAATGAGTTTACAATCACTTTAGGTTTTTTGAATTGCAGAGCATGGGTATAATATCTTATGGACCCTGCTTATGTGCACAGATTTGTACTTGCAAAAATAATTTTAAGGAATAATATCCTTTGGCAGCAACTGATTGATAGCAAGCTCTAAATTGTTAAAGCCTTAGCTATTTATTTCTAAAAATTGAAGTACAGTATGTTCCCTCGATTTAGATGACAACTTATAGCTTACAGTAATTAGAGAGCATCAGGTAGTTGTTGCTGATATTCCATTAAAGAACTTTTTTTTCACAGCACCTCACTTTATCCTTTAAAAAAAAATGTAAAACACTATGCACCCAAAACATGTCACATCCTCACCCCATGTGCACCACAACAACCTGCTGTATACCCTTATACCCAAAAATATTTTGATCTTTTTCAAGTTAAATATTTAAAATAAACATATTGATTTTAATAGTAACATCTGCAGTGGCTGTTTGGTTGTCTTCTGTGATCCAGGTCTGAATTTGTTTTATTAAAATGAGCCTTTCAGTCACCACAAATCCCCCCCCCCACCCCAGGGTCCAGCGCCCTACTGCACTGAAGGCCCTCTCTGACAGGCAATGGTACATCTTTGACTCCCAGTTTTACTTACAGCCTTGTTGTCCTTGCCTATGTTTTCTTGACCAAGGCAGCGACAGTCTTACAAGGAAAAAAAATGAAAGTACTAAAACATTAAAAAATTAACTGCCCACCATATAAGGAAATGACAGACAGGCTGCGGTTCTCTCATTCTGGGAGGATGTAATTTGACGTCCTCCCACTGTAGCTGCACATGCGTGCCCCTGGGGGGTGCGGCCCGGCGATCAGTGGTGCGCTGTGTCCCTGGAACACAGCGAATCATCGATCGCAGTAAAGAGACGATGACATAGGCTCTATCATGTGATCAGCTGTGTCCAATCACAACTGATCGAATGTAAATAGGAAATGCCGGTTATTGGCAGTCCTTTCCTCATGCGCTGTCAGCTGGTAAGCAGCATTCCTCAGAGGGGACATGTTCACTAATCATCAGGGTACTGATCATCAGTGCCCTGATTATCAGTGTAGCCCCATCAGTGCCACCTGTCAGTGCCCATAATTGCCACCTGCCAGTGCCCATCAATGCCACATACCAGTGGCCATCAGTGCACATCAATGCTACATATCAATGCAAATCAATGCCAAATATCAGTGTACATCAAAACTGCCTTTCAGTGCCAGTCAGTGTTGCCTATCAGTGCCAGTCAGTGCCGCCTATCAGTGCCAGTCAGTGCTGCCTATCAGTGCCGCCTATCAATGCCAGTCAGTGACACCTATCAGTGCCACCTATCAGTGTTCGTCAGTGCCACCTATCAGTGCTGCCTATCAGTGCCCATCAGTGATGCCTGTCAATGCCCACCAGTGATGCCTGTCAATGCCCATCAGTGCCACCAATCAGTGCAGCCTATCAGTGCCCATCAGTGCAGCCTCAATAGTGCACATTAGTGAAAGAGAAAAATTACTTATTTCCAAAATTTTATAACAGAAACTAAGAAAAATTTTTTTCAAAATGTTCAGTCTTTTTTAGTTTGTTTAGCAAAAAATAAAACACCCAGTGGTGATTAAACCACCAAAAGAAAGCTCTACCTGTCTCAAAAATTATAAAACGTTTGTTTGGGTACAGTATTGCACAACCGCACGATTGTCATTCAAAGTGTGACAGCGCTGAAGCTGAAAATTGGCCTGGGCAGGAAGGGGGTAAAAGTTTCCAGTAGGCAAGTGATTAAATAATAAAAAATGTAAGTAGTGTTTAACCGCTTGCCCTTCAGAGGATTTACCCCCCTTTCTGGCAAGGCCATTTTTTGTGATACAGCGCTGCGTTACTTTAACTGACAATTGCACGGTTATGCAATGCTGTACATAAATGAAATGTATGCCCTTTTTCCCCACAAATAGAGCTTTCTATTTTTATATGTATAAATAAAAGTGCAGCACTAAAATAAAACATAAAAAACAAATGCATAAAAATATGTCACAATAAATAATGTCTATAAAAGTCCCAGCAAAGGTGACTTGCAGTATTAATGCACACTAACCAGATGTGCACATTATACGTGCAATGTAGTAATCATTAGGCTTGTGGAGTAATCATCGAAATGGAAATGATAAAGATGTTCCCCTGATCAAAACAAGTTCCTCAGATGGTGCAGAGCTGAGCAGGAGAAATTCCACTTGGTGATAGGAAGGAATGGGCGTTGCTCCACCAAAAGAGCACAACTCCTCCACTGGGCAAAACGATGTCTGGGAAAAAATGCTCCCCGCAGGGGGTCAAAACAAAAAAATACCCATAGTGAAGTATTACTAGATAATACAAATTTATTGAAGGACGAGTAACAGCAACAAGGTGGATGCATCCAATAAGAATAAATGATTACAGAAAGGACTAACCGTCCTATCAGATATAGTGGCTGCCAGAGCTCCACGATGCTCCGACGGCATGACGTCACGGCGTGCGTAGGCTCCTCCTTACGCGTTACGTGCCAAGCACATCCTCAGAGAAAGAACCATTACTTCCTCTACAATTCCCTGACAATTTTGAGAAAAAAAAACAATATTTTGACTTTTTGCTATTAAACATGTCCAAAAAAAATGTAATCACATTTCGTCATAAATTTAGGCCAAAAGGTATTCTGCTACATGTCTTTGCTAAAAATAGAAATAAATAAAAATATACTGGAATTTAAATTTTTTTTTATACTAGTACTGGTGGCGATCAGCGACTTATAGCGGGACTGCGACAGGCATTCTGATACTGGGGGGGGGGAAACTGACTAACTGCCACTGACATTCCCAGTGACACTAATACAGTGATCAGTGCTAATAAAAAGCACTGACACTGTACTAATGACACTGGGCAGGAAGGAGTTAACTTTTGGGAGATCAAAGGATTAAATGTGTGCTGTGTATGTTTTACTGTGTGCTGTGTGCTGTTTTACCTTGGAAACATACTGTTTTGTATTTCTCTGCTGTGCAGAGAAATACAAAGCAGCAATGACCATGCTGGCAGGAGAGAGACCTGAGTTGTTTACACAAAGGTTTCTTCCCTGTCAGCTTTGCATGGCAATCACTGGGTTCCAGTGGGAAAACTCCAGCCGGGACCCGGTGATTGACATGCCTAGCCGCCAGTGGCACGCTTCTGCGTGCTCCCTACCTGGAAATGCAAATAACGTATATATACGTGATTTTGCGTAGCCCGGCAGCAGTAGTTCTACTATAGGGCGGCGGGCAAGCGGTTAAAGATAAATTCCAGGTATGCAATTTTTATATGCAGTGTAATAATAGGGAGCTCAGGATCACCAGCCAACCATGTTGATAAAAGCAAAGCAGTCTTTTATTATTTAAAAAGAAAGCAAGCAGTTTGATTGCAGCATACAATAAACAACCAGCTCACATATCTAGTACAAATTAAACCTTTTGGCTCAACGCTCAGGAAAAACTTGTCCCTTAACAGGGTTACGTTGCCGCATGTTTCAGGGGTCCCAAAGGCCAGGCCACCAGCAGCTCCAGTCACAAGCACTCTTCCTCCTAAGTGTCCTGCTTCACATTTCACCTCACAGACACCTGCCAATTGCTTCCTGCTTCTTTTCAGGCCTTTCCTGCAGAACCATTCACCCTTTCAGGGCCAAGTTGTCAGTTGTCAGTCCGCCCCTGATCCCATATAAGGGTTTACTATTATTGGGAAAACTATAAACCAGTTTTCCCCTTTCCAACTGGAACCCCCCACCCTGAGAACTCCTAAGTACTTCAACACTGCATTCAAATTGTCCCCCTTAAAGGGACTACATCCCAATTAATAGGGAAACATACCTGCCTTCCAGGACCTATTCCTGGCATCCTGTACAATAATTAATTAAATCCAGCTTGGACAAATGTAACTATGAAAATATTATACCTGGTCAAAGAGCCTGGAAACTGGAAATCACTGCAATAGACACTGCTGCTCCAGTGATCACCACTTGGTTTTATGTTGAGCAGCAGCAGCCTGCTGCATTGTGAACACAGGAGGTTGGTGTCACATACCTGACCGGAGGCTGCAATAGAGAGATGGCTCCCCTTACGGTTAAGTGCAGTGCGCCCCTGGAGGTGGAAACAGGAGGTGCAGTGCCCAAAGAAGCACGGGTTGCCAGTGGTGTTGCTGCTTGGAAATGCCTGATGAGATGGAACCCGTGTGTGCTCCAGTTGCAGGATGAGTTTCTCCAGAGAACACGTGGATCCCGGAGGATGGGTAGAGTAGTCAATAGCCAGAGCCAGGATCAATATGGAACAGCAGACAAGAGCAACGTCAGGGTCATACACAGAGTAGCAGCAGACAGGAGCAAGGTCAAGATCAAGCCAGGGTCATATAGAGAGTAGCAGCAGACAGGAGCAAGGTCAGGATAAAGCCAGGGTCATACACAGAGTAGCAGCAGACAGGAGCAAGGTCAGGATCAATCCAGGGTCATATAGAGAGTAGCAGGAGAGAGGATCAAGGTCAGGAGCAAGCCGGGATCATACACAGAGTAGCAGCAGACAGGAGCAAGGTCAGGATCAAGCCAGGGTCATACACAGAGTAGCAGGAGACAGGATCAAGGTCAGGAGCAAGACGGAATCATACACAGAGCAGCAGACAGGAACAAGGTCAGGATCAAGCCGGGTCGGTAATGGGTAATCAGCAGTAAACACAGGAACAGGAGGGGCTGACGATAATCCAGCAATCACTGAGCAGAGCTGCAGTTCTTATAAAGGCCACTGAGTGTCAGCAATTAGTGCCCCCTGTGTGTGCCGGTGCGTTTTTGTGCACAGGAATGCATGGTTACGTGTCGCCCACCTATGCGCATGCGCACTTCTTTGCATGAATTGGCATGGCCATATTGTGCATTGGCGCATTTTGCCCGGGCTTCCTCATCTTTTCCTCTGACAGTTGGCCACTCAGCACAGGATGGCATTCATAGAATATTTCGTATTTTCTGAATGAACACAAAGCATTCTCTGATTGGACGAGGTGGAGAGCATGATGTCGCTGTCCTGTCTTTCCACCTAGTCCAATCAGAGAATGTTTTTGCATTCAGAAGGCAGCAGGCCAGCTGCCCAGCACAGGAACCAGAAGCAGGTGGAGATCACTGGAGTAGCTGTGTCTACTTCACTGATTTCCAGCTGTGATTGGCCAAGTGTGGTATACACAGCATATAGTTACACTTTTCCATGCTGGACCAATGCAACTCTATACAAAATATCAATACCCGGAATTCCTCTTTAACCAGTTCCGCACCACCCTATAGCAGAAATACTGCTACAGGGCAGCACGGTTACGCAAAATCATGTATATACAGTTGTGTTCAAAATAATAGCAGTGTGCTGAAAAAAGTGAATAAAGCTCAAAATCCTTCTAATAGCTTTTATTTCCATACACACAAATGCATTGGGAACACTACACATTCTATTCCAAATTAAAATATGAAGAAAAATATATCAAATATGTGTTGTTCCTCTAAAAAAATTGAAGAAAAGTGAATATTAGACTGTTCAAAAAAATAGCAGTGTTTGTATTCTTCAAACTCAAACATTCACTATATAAACTGAAAAATGTTTGAAGATTTTGCTTTCCTTTGAATCACTTAACCACTTCCCGACCGGCCGTTGCATATAAACGGCCGGACGGTGGCAGTGCAGGGTCGGGTGGCCGTCTATAAAACGGCCTCCCCGCACCCTGCTTGTGCGCGCTCCCTGGGAGCGCGCAGCACCGCGATCCGGTGCCCGCTGTGTCCTCCGATCCTCGCTGTGTCCTCCGATCATCGTGAAACACCGATCGTCGGACGGGACCTCTGTACGAGGTCCCGACCATGTGATCACTGATTGGCCAATCAGTGATCACATGCAAAGTAGTAAGCAAGATGTCACTTGTGACATCATTGCTTACTACGTGTGAAATCTGTGAATGATCACAGAGGTCACATGGTACAAGCCTATTCACAACAGGCTTGTACCATGTGACAGGCTGTGACCAATCACAGCTCAGTCAGTACTTCTCAATGAGTGCATGAATGCACACAGAGAGAAAGAGCAATGATTGCTTTTACATCCTATATGGGTGTAAAAGCAATGTGTAAAAAAAAAAAAAAAAAAAAATCTTCATCACCCCCCACAAGTAGTACAGTGTCACCATGGTGACACTGTACTGCTAGTGTGACAGTATATAAAAAAAAAAATAAAAAAAAAAAATAATATAAAAAAATAAAATAAAATAAAAAATAAAAAATAATATAAAAAAAAAATAAAATAAAAATGTAAAAAAAAAAATGTTTAAAAATTATGATTTTTGTTATAAACTAATTTGGATTTTTTTTTTTTTTTACTAAAAAGATAACGGAATAAATTTTGGCAAAGAATTATGATGAAATATTATTTATTTGCAAAATTGTATAAAAAAAAACACTTTTTTTCAAAATTTTTGGACTTTTTTTCATTTACATAGCAAAAAAAATAAAAATCCCAGCGGTGAATAAATACCACCAAAATAAAGCTTTATCTGTTTCAAAAAAATGGTAAAAAAAATCATTTGGGTACAGCGTTGCATGACCGCGTAATTGTCATTCAAAGCGTGATAGCGCTGAAACCTGAAAATTGCCCTGGTCAGGAAGGAGGTAAAAGTGTCCGGTCTTGAAGTGGTTAATGAATATTTAGTTGTATAAGCACTGTTTCTGAGAACTGCTGTACATCTGTGTTGCATGGAGTCAACCAACTTCTGGCACCTGTGAACAGGTATTCCAGCCCAGGATGATTGGACTACATTCCACAGTTCTCTATTTCTTGGTTTTGCCTCAGAAACTGCATTTTTGATGTCACCCCACAAGTTTTCTATTGGATTAAGATCCGGGGATTTGGCTGGCCACTCCATAACGTCAATCTTGTTGGTCTGGAACCAAGGTGTTGCACGTTTACTGGTGTGTTTGGGGTCGTTGTCTTGTTGGAACACCCATTTCAAGGGCATTTCCTCTTCAGCATAAGGCAGCATGACCTCTTCAAGTATTCTGATGTATTCAAACTGATCCATGATCCCTGGTATGCGATAAATAGGCCCAACACCGTAGTATGAGAAACATCCCCATACCATGATGCTTGCGTAGCCATACTTCACTGTCTTCACAGTGTACTGTGGCTTGAATTCAGTGTTTGGGGGTCGTCTGACAAACTGTCTCCGGCCACTAGACCCAAAAAGAACAATCTTACTTTCATCAGTCCACAGAATGTTGCGCCATTTCTCCTTAGGCCAGTCAATGTGCTCTTTGGCAAATTGTATCCTCTGCAGCACGTCTTTTTTTCAACAGTGGGACTTTGCGGGGGCTTCTTGCAGATAGCTTGGCTTCACATAGGCGTCTTCTAATTGTAACAGTACTCACAGGTAACTTTAGACCTTCTTTGATCTTCCTGGAGCTGATTGTTGGCTGAGTCCTTGTCATTTTGGCTATTCTTCTATCCATTCGAATGGTAGTTTTTTGCTTTCTTCCACGTCTTTCAGGTTTTGGTTGCCATTTTAAAGCATTTGTGATCATTTTAGCTGAGCAGCCTATCATTTTCTGCACATTTTTATACGTTTTCCCCTCTCCAATCAACTTTTTAATCAAGGTTCGCTGTTCTTCTGAACAATATCTGGAACGACCCATTTTCCTCAGAATTTCAGAGAGAAATACACTGTAACCAGCATGTACAACATTTACTGCCTTCCTTCCTTAAATAAGGGCAATAATTGCCACCTGTTTTTCAAAGAATGAATGACCTCACTAATAGAACTCCCACACTGCTAATATTTTAAACATGCCCCTTTCAATTAGTGATTCAATTACAGAGAATCAGCAGCATGCATGTCATGACTGTTGGGTCTGTTGGATTTCTATTACTCTACTACACCTGCTAGTAAATTATTTGCCATGTAGAAATATAATTTCTACCAAAAACAGTGATTGATCAGGTTAGTGATGTCTGACTGCTATTATTTTGAACACAACTGTATATACGTGATTTTGCAGTTCCGAGGAAGGGGTGCGCGTACGCCCTAACCATGCTGCCATTTGCAGCCTCGGCTGTCAATCACTGGATCCCAGCCGGTGATTACTCTCCGGCACCCGGTGATCACCGAGTATCTCCAACAGGGGAGAGA